GATAGTATAAATTTCACAAAGTGTTTTATAGACATTAACTCAAGGTCACAACAAACCATTTCAACCTTAGAAATATTTAAAATTATGTTACCCCATGGCCAATGCATAAAGATCAGGCCTCTTCTGTTTTTCTTCTTGACAGATTTTATGGACTCGTCTTTCCAGAGCTGTACCCAGGTTCAAGACTTTTGGGTACCAAGGAAGTATTTTTGTTAGTACAATCAAAATATTTCTGATATGGGTGTATTCACCAGTTTCAAGGCAATGTACTGAAGCCTAAAAATACAAATTTGAAATAATTGTTCAAGTAAAATATTTATAGAAAAAAATTTATAACTGAAAATCTTAGTTTTCTCCTTACCTTTGTTAGCTTATAGTGCCACTTATGTACAATGTGTCGGAAATTCTCATACTCTAACTGATCAGCTTTGTTTCCACCATCAAATCCAGTTGCCCTTAATGTGGTAAGAAAGCCTGGATAATTACCACATTCCTAAAGAGAAATTAAGTTTTAAAGTGAGATACTCAAGTTCTCCGAGTAGGGAACTTATCCCAACCCACTTACAGCATAATGGACATGAAGAGAGAAATAGGCAGAACTATAAATCCCTAAATATAACATATAAATAATAATATACTATGTACTTTTATTTAGTTCTGGCATATTCAAAGTGTGGAGCAACTAGGTAGCATGGTGGATAAAGCTTCAAGTTTGGAGCAGGAAAGACCTGAGTTCAAATCCAACCTCAGATACCTCCTAGCTGTGTGACCCTGGCATGTCACTTAATCCTGCTTTGTAACCTGTTTTCCTCAGTTTCCCCATTTGTAGAATAAGTTGTAGCCCCTACTGCCTACAGCATCTGTCATTATATTTTTGTGGTAACTCTGCTAACTTACTAAGTTGCTTTCGTTTGCATTTCCCTGTTTATTAGAGATGCAGATCATTTTTTCACATCATGCTGGGAAGTCCTATGCCAGTGTCTCTCATGTTTCCCAAGTCTATATAATCTATTTTACTAACTAACTAACTCCTCTTTGGATCCAAAGTGTTTTGTTGTATAGTTTTAAATCCAGTGTTACTCGGCCTCTTTTGCTTCTACATCTATCACTTCTTTTGAGATTCTTGGATTTTTGATTGCTATCATATTGAACAAGTAACTTCTTTAGATTATATGGACATATTTATCCTATTAGCTTGACTTAACATGATCAATTAATTTTTTTTGGATCTGTCTGTATTTGTGTAAAGTGTGATTCATCCTGTATTCATATAGCTCCTGTTTGTGTCTGTGTAGTGGATTCTCATGGTTTTTTTAAAATCATTTTATAGTTATATTAAATTAAATTTCTCATCCTATCTCTTTCTACTTGGTTATGTTGGTACTACACAAAAAAACTAATGATGGGTTAATTTTATATGCTACACCTTTGCTATAGTTTCAAATAAATTTTAGTTGGTTTACCAGTGTTTTCTAAGTAAACCACCAAACCAATCTCAAAAGCAAATGTTTTGTTTCCTCTTTGTCTCTGCTTATTCTGTTTTCTTTACAATTTTGCTGTTATTTCTAGCAGTAAGTTCAATACTAATGATTACAACTGCTTTATCCCAACCCTACTGGAAAGGTGTCTAGTTTATCCCCATTACAAATAACAAAGGCTCTTGGGTTTTAGATTCTACTTATTTGGGGGAAGCTAGGTGGTGCTGTGGATTAAGCACCAGTCTTGGAGTCAGGAAGTCCTGAGTTCAAATGCGTCCTTAGACACTTGACACTTACTAGCTGTGTGACCCTGGGCAAGTCACTAAACCTAGGCGGAAAAAAAAAAAGAATAGATACAATTTTAAGTAAAGTCTTATGTTTCCTTAAGTTTTGAAAAAGAATGTTTTTTGTTTCTTGTCAAAAGCTCATTCTGTATCTACTAATATTTTTGTTATTCTATTGATTTTTTCTAACATTTTATGTATTCCTGGTATAATTCCAATTTGGTCATAATGTACATGTAATCTTTATGAAATGTTACTGCAATCTCATAGCTAACATTTTATTTTCAAATACTGCATCAATACTCATCGCAGAAATTGGTGTAGTTTTCTTTCGGTGCTTAGACTTTCCTTGGGTTAGCTATCAAGACCATGTTGCTACCACAGATAGAATTTGGTAGGATTCATTTACTATTTTTCACACACTTTATGTAAACCTAGAGATTACTGTTCTTTCATATTTCTTATAATTTATTTTTATATATATATCTAAGACCATTGTCTTTCCTTTGACAATCCATTTATGACTTGTTCATTTATTTTTTCTAAAATTAGGATAACTTCTCTATTTTTTGTTGTTCTATTCATCTAGGCAGTTTATATTTTTGTAATATTTATCCATTTCATTTACCTTGTCATTTTTATCCGTATATAGTTGAGAAAAACAGTTTCTAATCATTTCTTTTTTCTTCTTCTTTTATTAATTTA